TGATTAAATCAAAATTTCGCGAAAGCTGAAATCATAATCCAGAAATCATACATTCGCCATATGCACACACCGAATATATTTTCATGCTTGTAACATGAATACCATATAAGGGACGCCTTTATCTCCGTCCTCCGTATAACTCCCTCCTCGGCGTGCCTCGCTCCGCTTTAGGTCGCTCGATTCTTATATTGAGAGTGTCTGCTGCCCGCTATTTTCCTCAAGCCCCATAAACATCCACTACCCCGTTGCGATAGATTCCGCACTAAAAGCGCGACTACCCTCAGAGCTCGATGACATTATTTCGGCGATCGATACTCAGGCCCGCGCAGGGTCCTCGTAAAGTCACAGTAAAGAGGTAATGGATGTCGGAAAACGCGTAGGATACACAAATCTCTCGTTGTCATCGAAAGCGGATTGATAAGACGTTACACGTCCATCTTACGTCTTTACGTGCGAAGACGACGGCTTCCTAGATAGACAGTTGCGCTAAATGCGCTAAATCCGAATCGATCGACGGATAATCCTCGACTCGACGTCCTCCTGTCACTTTACCAACGAAGAGAACCCATTTTGAACGATCCATCTATTTGTGACTGAATTTTTGAAGAAAACTTTCACGTGGTCGTTTGGGGAAATCGAGACTTTCTTCTTAATAAAGCAATATTGGCAACTTTAACAGAACTAATCCTTGAACTTCGCTCACGAATTTCGATCGCGAGCTAATTAATGGGTATTGATTAATTAATGGTAAAATTCCATTCGATAATTTTACGCGTCGCGCATTGTAAAAAATATTTGTCAGAGAGCTTACAGAGGCATAGTCGCTTGCATAAGGTTTGCAACTTAAAGGTTAACTTAAAGGTTAACTCCGAATAAAGGTTAACTTTATTTCACGACACTTTCTTTCATGAGTTTATACATTACAATGATATTTATACTTCTGTTTATAAGTTACTTTGTGCACTCCTCGTATTTAAAAATTGGCCAGCTCTCTACGTAAGTTCTCTACAAAAGTCAATGTGTATAGAAGTTTGCAGTCTCGTCAACTTCGCGTGTTAATAAACTCGTGAAAAGAGGTGTCGCAAACTTTATGCAAACGCGCATTCACACGAAAAAGATATTATAGCTTTTTTGTTTTTTTCATATAGTCTTTTCAATTCTGCTATGTTTTTAGTAGATTACGGAAGTAGATTGTCAGTAAGGTCTGTCTCGCTAAGGGACGCAACAAATTTCCTTAGGAACAATTCTTTAAAGCACATTTAATTTTCTAAGATATAAATAGTACAAGAAGAAAAGAAAGTTTGGTTGGATTAAATTTCTGATGAAATATAAACGGGCCAGAAATTCCGATTGTGAACTTATCAGAACTCTGTTCAAAGTTAACATGATCTCTGATTGACTCAGACAAAATTCTGGCACCTTCAATCGGCGTTTTCCAATTCATTTATAGTTCACCAGAAATTTGGAAAAAAATTCACCCGAACGTTTTCTTCCGCGCTCACGCGATGAACAACGCAATGAGTAACGGATTACTGCGGGACGTCGATCTATTGCTCGGTTACAAAATTCTACAGCAACGCTTACTCCGAAATTCTCTCAATGCAGGATTTTCCGTGGATTCCGTAGATCCTGATTCCTCGGATATTCCTCCCTCCCGCCCGTGAAACTCTCTGTCGCGGATTATGAGACATCCGCAAACGGAGGCTCGACGCGCGATTTCATCGTTGACCCGTGCCCCTCCTCGACGTTTCGCATTTTAAATGTTGATGCAGCGCGATACGCGCCGCTCGAAGTTGATCGACCCGTCGTCCGCCCTGCCGTAGGCATCTATATGCAAACGCACAATGGGCGGGTGTTAAGCTCTCTCCCCCCCCCCCTCTCTCTTTTTTTTCTCGTATTTTCCCCGTTTCCGTCGAAAACTGCATGTATACATTCCAATAGCAGTGCGCGGACTATCGGCGAATTTAATCGCCGCGTCCTGCTTATCGATATGCCGCGCACGGTTGTACGTCACCGCGGCTGCATCGATATTTAAATGGCTAGACGTCGATGATACAGTCAATTTACGAGCCGAGTTTTGATCAATTAACACTGTGGAGCCGGCCTTGCATGCAGTTTCGCCGAAACGCACGAAAAACGATGTCGCAGTGCGCCGTAATTGGACTACACGGATAGAGCATTATGCGACGCGTGTCAAAGAGCACCCGGGGAAACGCGTCGTCGCGTCATTTTTCGCGTAAGAATGTCGGGGCATTTTCCATGGAGATCGACACTCATCTCCTCCTGCTCGCCAACGTCTTCGGAAAACGCGAATGCCAAGTCGCGGCCGCGAGCTCAAGCTGACGAGCGCTCGTTTAATTAATTAAGAACGCGACTCACGATTGGACGTACGTGTGAATTTGACGACATCGTATTTGTTTTTGACAGTGATACACCTCCGCACTTTCGCGCAAGGAATCCCTTATTATGGCGGGAGAAATAAACGGATGGGATCGAACTCACCATGCTGTGTGACACGGGCCAGTGCCGACGAATGAAATATGTTCGATTAAGCGCATCCCATTGTTCGGATGATTGCGGCTGGTGTTTAGTAAAGAGAAACGAAAGCGAGATAGCTCAATGAACGTACAAAATGCGCGCGTACAGCGTCGGCCCCTCCCCCTCAACGCGAGAGGAGGGGAACCGTCTCTTCCAATAGTCCACGACTAGATCTGTCGCCGAGCATTACTCTCGCAAAGTGAATCAGTAGTAGAAAGATTTCGGATCGAGAGTCAGCGCAAAAGGAGCATTTCATCGATATCAGCGAGTCAGTGAACATTCGCTGTCTTTCAGTGGAAACACTCCCAGTCTGCTGCCCCCAGTCTTACATCTCACTGATCTCGACCAGTGGAAGTAAGATTTCGCTGCAAAACTCGCGGTGCACAAATTCGTTATACGCCGTGCCAGCTTTCTGCGTTTGCGGCGGTGGAATTAACGATTCGCGTGCGACGGCAAACTGCAGCAGTAATAGGAACGATCGTTGCTACAAACCGATTCTTTCAGCGAGGTTTTACCGATCGCGGTGCTACACTACTTGTGACTGAATCAGAGTTATGAGTACAGCACATTTCAGCGAGGAATACACACTGATTGCACTTGAGGGAGTACGTGAACGCGAGAATGCTCGACGACGTACCTGCTCATTATGCGAATTTTGCGTAGCGTTAATTTTCTATGGCAACTTCCCACGCGCCAGTAGATAGCTAACAATGTTTAGACGATACGTGTGTACATAGATCTGTAGAGAATAGCGAGAGGGTAATGTATCTATCTATCTCTATCTAATTACTGTCTCTTACTTAATATCTATTTATCTGTCTACTTTTACCTCCAAGCATAAAAGAGTTCGCCTGCTCTCAGACATTGTAGTTTGTATGAAGCGCTGCGAATGTGGAATAACAATACACAGTTTTGCACTTTTCGTCGGATTTCGTCAGTTGCACCACCCGATCCCGCATCGCGCGCAGCTGCTTACGACGCGCCGTTTCGCGCTGCACGTCGACGCACGTCCTAATGTGCATCTGAGTGCACTTGCGGGTCTCGTCACGACAAATCGCGCGCGCTCTCCGATCGTAAACCCCGCGCCCCCCACGCGCTGGGGCGAGGCGGCAAGGAAAGAGATCGCTGCTCGGGTCGCGCGGGAGGGCACTCGGCGCGAAACTCGCGGGAATGCTCGCGAGCTTGGACGGACACAGGGCGGGATTCGCGGCATTCGCCGTGACTAATTGTTTTCTGACACGCAGGTGCAAGTGAGAAAGGTACCGAGCGCGGTGGCGAGGCAGACCAGCGAGGACGACGAGATCTCGAGGATCAAGAAGCAGAACAAGAGCGCGACGACGGTCGCCCACCCCGAAACGGTGGAGGAGAGACAGCCGACGGCGCCTGCTCCTCCGACCCATCCACCGCCGAGGGAACTCCCAGAGCGGGAAGTCGAGGAGCCGATCAGGCGGTCGGCGATCAGCAGGTAAACGCGCGACACCGCGACCCAAGTTTGGTCGGACCTGTCGACCCGACCTGGAACTCCCCTCGTCGGCGACCGAGTCAAAGTGCAGCGTCGACAAATTGGAAAGATCGCACGACAAGGGAAAAGGAAGAAACCACGCGCGTTATTGGAGGAAGAGAGCGTGTTTGCGACAATCTCGGGCGGAAATCTCTCTGGCGAGAGATGGGAGTCGCGTCGCAGACATTTCGTCGGATTAATCCAGCGGCGCGCGTCGTAACGACGAGACCGCGCTCGGAAAGTGAATGCAACGGGGCTCAAGGGTCGGGGAATCCGAAACGAAAACATCCTTACTCGCCGGCCGGTACCCCTAACAACCGCGGGGCGCGATGATAAACTCGCGTGTCCCCGAAGGATCGAAGGGGCGCGTTTGTTCACGCGGATATTAATCATGCCGGTGGTAACCGCGAAATTTGCAACCGCCAGCCAGCCAGTCAGTCGGCTGGCAGCCGCTCGCTGCAGCTCGAGGTAGCGTCGGGACTTGGCGGGAGTTCGTGCGCCGCGGCGACGTTGTTATAGCGCGAGCAAGCAACTTGGTCGAGTTCCCCTGTCTTATTAACGCTGTTGTTTGTAATATCGTTGCTCGCAGGAGAACTTCGGCGGAAACTCACCCTCCCCCCGCGGCCAGAAGCGCCTCGTCGGACTCGAGCACCGGCTCCGAGAGCTCGACCGGGTCGGGGGTTCGCAACACGGGCGCGCCTTTCACGGCCGAGGAGATGAAGCAGAAATACTTGTCAAGGGCGCCGCCGACTAACACGACTACCACCTTGTCGACCGGGCCGTCTGTCATCTCCACGACTGGCAAGGAGTCGCCCAACATCACCTCGCCGACGACAAGGCCGTTTCAAAGCCGTTTTTTAGGCGCAGGTAATATGCGTTTCTGTGACTGTCAGTTGCAAGCTTTTAGTGTTTCGTGCAAACCGCCGCGCGAGAAGATGTCGTAAGAGAGATTGTAGGAGAAATTTTGTGGACGATGCACTTCCCCAAACAGCACTAAAATATGAAATACCTCTTAGAGACATCTCAGAGATCTTTAAAACAAGTAGGATGTCATATGTCTTTCATATGTCTCTAAGGTGTCTTTTATATATTGTGTACAATATTTATAATTATGTTGGATTTCGATAACGCGCGCGCGACAAACTCGAAATTCACTTCAACGATGTAGAATTTTGAGCGACACATTCCTGCGAGTCCTATTATAAATAAATTCAGAGTTAAATAATTTTCGACCAGCTCTGTTGAAATTATTAATTTTTGGGGGACATCACATAATGGCTTTTAAAACAAAATCTTTAGGACGTCTCAGAGACATCTTTTACACATATATGCTAAATGGACATTAATAATGAAATAAAAGATTTGAGATTTATTTCGCTGACGCAGAATTTTGGGCGAGATGTTTACACGAGTCCTATTACAAATTCAACGTTAAATAATTTTCGACGCTTCCTTTTCTACTCTCGGTCTTACGTCGGTTAATTTTTTCCATCGAAAAATCTTTTGTATCGAGTTTTCGACTCGAAGAGTGGAGATAATAAACGATCGAAGTGGCAGATAACAAAAAAACATGAAGGAAAGTTAATAGGCGCTGAAAGAGTTGCACGTCGAATTCGCCTTCTCGTGTACACATCACAAGGAATTAGGAGGAACAATGCAACCGGATAGCAATCGAGGGTTAGATCCTTTTATAGCGTCTGTAACTGGGAGCTCTATCTACGGCACGTCCCAATTTACGGTTGTGAACCCCTATTACCTATTGTTTACACGAAGGGAATCGAAAGCACGTCTCTGTTCGCTTCTCGCACGCCAATCCTGCCTAGACCCCATTGTACTTGTCAGCATCCTGTCGAGCGGCTCGCAGTAATTGAATGTACGGGCAAATTTGCGTTTAACCTTTCGCTTCACTTTGGATGTCTTTATCCGCACGAAAGAGTCTTTTCCTCCTCGGAAACGCGAAGGCGCAACATCGACCTATGGGCACCGCCTGTTGAGCGTAACATTGCGAAATTAAATAACGACTAACATAATATAATACGCCGAAGCAAGTGACTGTATTTGATACATGTTGTTAAGGCTTAACATTACATCACTAAGGTCCGGTAAGACACCAATCAAGTGATGAGCTAACAGTTAGATATCATGTGTCTATGTGATTTGTTTTGAAAGAAAAAGCAAAGACAAACATATAGGATTTAACTTGGCTTATCACTCGATTGGTGCAACCCCGGGTCTTAGGTTCATGTTAACAGTCGTTACTTAGAACTTCTCTCAAACGAGACAAGTTTCGAGTTAGATGAGAGTTTTCCAGTTGAATCGCGATTACAATATCACATATGTTATACAATTCAACCGATAAACTTGAATCTAATTCCGGAAAGCCGAGTGTCTCACGTGAGACAAAAGACAAACTTCAAGTAACGACCACACAGAGACCTTGCACACGGTTCTCCGATATTTCTGCTTCACGGGCAGCGAATGTTCTTTTTATGGGGAAAGATATTCGGGAAGGGAAAGAAAAGCCGAGGGATGCGTGTAACGGACATGAAGCGGAAGTAACGGACGGTCGTCGCATTTGGCGTAAAAGGTGTTTCACGTTCGATCGTGAATCTCCGCGCACTCGCGGCGACTGCAAGTGAGCTCGCGAACACGCGCTGATCCCGTATGCGAAGGGTGCGCGTAAAATGCAGCTGCACACCGCGATTACACTGTCGCGCTGCTACCGTTGTTGCAATTGCCTCCAGAGAAGCGATACTTCAGATTCGAGGGCTGGAATTGGCACCGGCAAGAGAAGCGCAACGCGCGGCATGGTAATTACATTACGCATTCAGCGCTCTTAGTTAAGCGCTGTCGGCCTGCTTTTCCGACGCGCCGACGTCCCGGCCCACGTCACATCGCGCGTCCACGTGTTAAGTCGGAGGCGACGTGTTTCGTCTGTGGTGAGACGCGTGGACGTGGCGATATTCGCGTCGACCCGATCTCTATCGACTACCACCGTCAGAGCCAGTCGATATGATCGGCCCGCGTTCTCATCGCATTCCCGTCAACCGCGATCACGTAGGTGCTATGAGCCACCCCACCCACACCCTTCCTGCACCTGGAACCTACGCAAATGCACCTAATGCGACAGGTACGCCAGCCTCTTGCCGTTTCCTCGTGTTAAAGGCAAATGCGACATTTCTATAAAACATAATCTCCACGAAGATAAGGGAGAAATTTCTCTTGGAATATTACTGTCATCAAGCCTTAAAAGGTAGTGTGGATATCCTTTACTTATGCTAAAAGCGTTAGCCCTAAAAAAGTAGTAATATGTGGTACAATTAAAGGGAGGTTTCGGTTCGTATAGTGGAAAAATGAGAGGTCTTTATAAATTTTTTTCAAAAAGATGGGAAATGATGTCAATATAGATTTTCATATTATTTGTCGTTGTTTAAAATGTAAAAAAAATATATTTTTTTTATAAAAATGAATTAAAATTTTGTTGTCTAAGTTTCTATATTAACATATATCTTTGTTTGTCTCTTTAAAAAAATTTTTTCTTAGAATCTTCTATTTTTCACCTATTTAAACCAGAACTTCTCCTTAAGATAGAGATGAGTAATTCTCATCAATATCTCACAAAGAAGCATTGGTATCTTCATTGCAGTGGATGGTGAAATAAATACTAGATGGGGAGCTAAAGATCTTTTTAATGCGAGTAAAAGTTACTCGCGCCACCTTCCTAAGGTTAAAAATTATCACTGAGAACCTTTTTATTTCAAGCACCGTTAATTATAACGTCAAAAGGGGATAGCAAATTTACGTTTCCAAATCTCACTCTTTAAATTCGTCAAATTCAGACATACAAGTGCATAAAGATCGCGCAGCATCGAAGATTAATAACACCGAGATTCGATCTGTTCTAACTTCAGGTAACCGTGCGGCGCCACCACCGCCGATCCAAATGCCACGGGAGGAGCCAACCCCGAAGAAGAAACAGGAAGAGGAGGACGAGGAAGAGGAGACGAGCAGCTCGTCCGAGGAGACGGAGTCGGACACGGAGGAGGAGTCGGAAACAGACGTTCATCCGTCTAACGCCGCTCCATCCTCAACCTCCAGCGTCCCTCAAGATCGTCAGAGGAACGAGTCCGCCATGGCCCGTACTGATATAGGACCTCTGCTCGCTCGCAGCGCTGAAGCCAGGAGGGGTAGCAAGGAGGATTCGCCTTCCACCAGGCAAGTATCATTGATTTATCGAAACGAATCCGCTTCGGGCGGACGAGGGAGACAGAAATTTGTTGTTCCTCTCGTAATCCTCTTCGTCTCGTTGCCCCTCCTCCTCTTCCACCGATATTTCGTACAGTAAAAATACACATGACGGCTCAGTGGTAGCTTTCCTCCGTGCACATGTCCAATCAGGAAGCTCTCAAGTAGTCGTCATTGAAAATGATCGTCGGTCTTACGATCAGGATCGGGCATATCGCGTTTTATCCCGCGGAATTACCGTCGAGTTTTCGATCCCAGCTTTTCCGTGTTTACCCGCGCTCGTTACGAGCGGCGGCACTACCCGCCACGCATCCCGACGCTCCTCCGCCGCATCCGGGGGTTGCCGCGCACACTCGCGCTGAATTTCGAAGCGAGCTCTCCTCGACGCTCCCGCAATCTTCCCGCTCGAGACTAAGGGTGGGTTAAGGAAACGAGGAACGGTCGAGGGAGGCAGCAGGAGAAATGGAGAGACAGAGAAAGAGAGAGAGAGAGAGAGAAAGAGAGAGAGTGTGAGAGAGACAGGCAGAAGGTACCGTAAGTGCTTCCCGACCGAGCCGTGACTCTCGGTTTTTGTAAAAGAATCACGTGGCCCGCTCCCCATCGCGCACTACTATCAGAAACTTTCCACGTACCGCTGCGGGAACTGATTAGCCGTTCAGCCTGGAGATGAATTATAATATTAGGACGCGCGGAAACTCGGATAAACCACGCGAGGAGCAGCGACCTAACGCTTGCTCGAATGAAACGATCAGCTTCCGCTTTGGAAGTCGACTAGACTGGTCGTCCTGCCTGTCGATTTTTAATATTTCGAATTAATATCATGCACTCTCTGCGCACTCGTCGATTCACCTGATAAAATTAGTACACACCGGCTTCGATTCGGGCGGGAAAACATTTAATTAACCCCTTAACTGTCGATGACGCGTGTCATGAACAAATTATTAATGTAAAATTATAAAAATACTTTTTAGATACCTATTATATCAATGAGTTTATATAATTTAATATGTCTGCTACTTAAAATTCAATGAAATTATAATAATTACACTTTATTAACATAATTTATTGAAATTGAAGTTTTATATTTAAATTATTATTTTTAATTATTATTTTCAATGAACTTTGGGAGAGTTACTGCCCGAGCTTAAATATTGTATATTTTAATGTTATATATTTTACTCTTGTAAATTGTGTTGATAACAATTAATATTCATATTTTTGTAATATTTGTATATTTTAGTCCGCCATTTTCAATTTGGTTTACAGATTACAATTTACAGATTAGATTCACAGTTAATGTCTTAAAAAAAAACTCACATAAATTATAATTTAGTAAAGGAAATAATTTTTTTGTTCTTGCATATTTTCATTCTATTATTCGCTATATTGAATCAGTCATTTTGAATGTATCAGTTTTATCAGCAATTTCTTATTGAGCAACTTCAGAAACTTCTTGTACATATATATTCGTCGCAACTAACTTATTGGTTAATGCTGGGCCCACTTGTGCAATTTAGATGCTGACAGCGAAGGGGTTAAGCGCGCCGTCGCGTTTGAACGGAGAAATCGCGCAGTTCCGCAATTGATATTCGTGTGACGCAAGAAAGAATATTCCTGATGTAGCTTGCAATCAAAGCCGCGGACCCTCGGGAACTCGACCGGCTGGAACTAAAGCGGGATCACGGGAACTCATTAATCGCGTAAGCTCGCGCCCCAATCCTCAATCGAGATAGAGAAAACGCGTGATAAGTTTTTCTCGAACGGCAATATAACGTCACGTTCGTGCCTCCCACAAAGAAAAGCAAGTAGACAAAACAAGAAAACACGATCCGAGTGAACCTCCCTCCCCCCTTAAAAGTAGCAGTAGCGTAGTTGAGAGAGAGAAAGTCCGACCGTTCACTCGTGTCTCAGGTATTCGTCGCCGAGGGGGAGCCCCGCGCAATCCGTGACGAGCCCGACGACGACGACGATGACGAGCCCGGGCGGCGGCGGCATCGGCGGCGTTGGCGTTGGCGTCACGACGCCGACGGCCACGCCGGGCGGCTACACCAGCAGGTTCGTAGCTCAGCACGTAGCTCACGGCCAAATTCACGATGAGGCCAGTTCTATTAATTCCAGTAACCCCCTCGACTGTCATCGTTTTAGGACGTTTAGTGACGATACCGACGTAAGGTCGGTCGCTCGCGTCGAGGACGATATAGTAATCGCGGCTACTACTACTATTATTACTACTACTACTACTACTACTACTACTACTACTACTACTACTACTACCACCACTACCACTACCACTACTACAATCGCGGATTACGCTTTTAACGCCGACGACGGGGACGCACTGAAGCAGATTAAACCGCCACCGACGAACACTACCTCGCAAACGGACGCTATTACGGACACCGACAACACATCGACCACCTCATCCTCCTCCCACCTCGCGATTAGCCCCGAAAGCCTCATGGAGGGTAGCCGCGGTAGTCGAGTTGCGAGCGTGGCCGAAGACGACGCGTTAGTGGACGGTCGTTCAGGGAACGATGAGGTCTCATTACTAACCGGTCGCGATCACCACGAATTCATCTGCGTTGTGACCGATGACTCCGCGACGAGAACACGCGAGCCTCAAGACTCGCCGTCGGGTTTATGTTCGCCGGAGGACGTCGTGAGGAACGCGACAGTCGTGGAGCGGTCCGCGTCGGACCTCTCCTCGAGTTTGTCCGCCGAGATGATGGACCAGCACAGAGACCGGTCCAAGTCCAAGGACTCGCGAGGTGTGTCTGAGAGCTCGAGCTGCGTCAGTGGGCGCACGATTTCCGACAGCGAATCAGAGAGCGATTCCGAGAGCGGGTCGGAGGACGAGGACGAGGACGAGGACGAGGAAGAGGAAGAGGAAGAGGAAGAGGAAGAGGATGAGGATGAAGAGGACGACGAATCTCGGGATGAAAATTGCAACTTGAAGAAGGAGAAGAAAGAGGAGAAGGAGAAGGAACGCGAGCGATCGAATGAAGTGGACGATACAGATAGCGAGGAGAGCGAAGAGAGCGGAGGCTCCTCGAGCTCCGCCAAAACCGACGGGGAAGCCACAGTGTTGAGCGTCAGCTCGAACACCCGGGCCGACAGCAGTCTGACGCAGTCGGACGATCTGCGCTATGAGCTAAAGCGCCGCAGCGCCTCGATAATCGACGAAAGGAGCATCGAGGAAATGTTCGACGACAATGGCTGGGTGATCACCGAGCAGGACCTCCAGACCGATGTGCGGACGGTGTCCGCGATCCCGTCGGCTTTCGCGAACGATTCTATCGATCGACCGGTCGATCAACGACAGACTGAAGACACCACCGGTGAGTCCAGCGACGCAGCTGGGACTCGTCCGGAGGAAACCATTCCTAAAATCGCTGAGGGTAGCCCGGACGAGGCGTCCGGCAACGTCGAAATGGCACCCTCGAGCGAGCCATCACCAGCGCCTGAGGAGACTCCGCTGCCGAGGAGTCGCGTCTATCGGCAAAGCAGCCTCGGCAAGAACGGCTGGCTAGTGTCCGACGAGTCCGAGAGCGAGTCTGACCGCGCGACCTCGCCGGGCGAAGTGGGCCATGAGGCGGCGCGAGTCGACATGGGCGACATCGACGAGAACGGCTGGGTGATACTCGACGATGACAACGAGGACGACGAGGACGACAATGAAGACCAAGATGACGGAGAAGACGCGGGGGCCCGCGGCGCGAAGAACACTGCGAGCGCGATTCGTTCCCAAACGACCGACCTCCTAACGAAAAGTAACATCGAGAACGGCGCGTTACTCGCGAAGGCTACCCAGTCAAAGGGCACCGAGTCGCCCGGCGAGCACGAGGAAACGCCCGGTGCCAATATCAGTATACCAATGCAAATGGTAACCACCGTCTTCTGTGTGTCTGTACTGTGTTACAGCGTTCTAATGAACCTCATCCTGTAATCCGTGGAACTCTCTCTCCGCAGACACGTACGAGTCCTACCAGGTTTCCTCTTCCCCATCCTCCTCCCGTCTTTCACACTTTCTCTGTTATTAATTCTCTCTCTCTCTCTCTCTCTCTCTCTTCCCTTCTCTCCTTCTCTGTCTATCTATCTATCTATCTCTCTCTTTCGCGTCGTCTCGGTTGTCGGTGTTAACGACTGTGGACCTTTACACGAGCACAGACACTGTGACGAGATACTGCCCCGCCGCGAATGACGACGCAGCGGTCTTCCGGTGGGACACTCGATCCGATATTTGCTCCTTCCGAGAAGAAGTTCGCTGTCCGTGCCAAGAGACACCAATTGCGCGTCGCTCCGACTATGACTTTACGTTGCGAGCGTGACTCGCGAAGCTAATCTACGGATCGCAAGGTGCCTGAGAGAGCTTGATTCCTAACAATTTTCAAAATTGTCTGCGATCCTTCTTCAATTTTGGATCGAGTTCTTGTTTGTTTTTTTTTTTGTCTGTTAATCCGCGGGCGACGTCGATTGAATCGTGCCCTCGACAGTGTTCCGGTTAATGTCAATCGATTTTAATCGGATGCCAATTAATTTCTCAAATTAAGCATTCCGGTATCAGAGGGTGAATTTGACGAGTCGGCATTGCCGGAGTCGGTTGGTAAAGCCAGCGTAGCGCACGGGACTTTTGGCAACGCGAGACAACGACAATGACAGGAGAGAGAAGAGCGTGTAGGACTCGTGGAAACCAGTGTCTCTAGAAGATAGAGTCTGGCCCCTCAAAATGGCGTATTTGTGTAATAGGAATGACTTGTGTTGGTAAAGTGCGTTGACGAGTATCAAATTATGGAAACGTACCTTAAGTCACTTTTTCCATAATTTTGTACCATAATTATCATAAACTTTAGTGTTTGAAGTTCTTATTATTACAAATGTCGTGTAATAAAAGTTAATATATAATCAACAGCAATTTATTAAACGTGAAATAAAAGTGTTAAGAATTATATCCTCCCTCAAAAGAGTGAAATCCGCAAATGAGTTGCTTTGTGTAACCTTACAATTATAATGATAACGCAATATAATATACATATAATGAATCACTGTGATTGGTGCCGCTACTTTGAGGGGTCTGCGAGCTAAATCAATCAAGAGGAGCTCGTAGAATGGTCAGGTTCTATCTTGTAGGAACCCTAAGCGAAAACGAGACCACTGCTCGAAGTAGACGCGTCCGCCGCGACCGAATCCGTCGTTTCCGGGTTCAACGCCGCCGACGCGGGCGATTATCAGAGAACGCTCATGAACGTGTGTAGTTATCTTATCTCTATACGCTATTTCTCGTAAATATTGCATTTTATACATTGTGATAGTCGTATGTACGGCCAATGCGCCATCGTTCCTACGTTGATCCGCGACACATGAAACCCCGCATTGCTCAGACACATGCACCGAGAAGAAAAACACTCGAAGATTTATCCGCGGGATATAAAGATCATTTTCGCGGAAATAAATCTTTTTTTCGCAGAAGCGAACCTCATATCCCGCAGATAAGTCTCCAAGTATTTTTGCCCGGTGCAGCTTCGTATTTCACATATGCGCAAAAACGCATAGTGAGAAGTGGACACTGGAGAGAGCATTCATTCATTAGTGGGACATAAAGTTTCTTCTCTGTGAGGTGTAGTTTATCTTCGCGAATAAACTTATTTTATGTTCCTCAACTAAACATTCGGGTATTTTGTTTCTCAGTGCGTGTCGTCGTCGTGTCCGTAAGCAAAGCAGTTTTGAGATTCGCACTTTCGCAAGAGCTGAGCTTTCATGCCGTCCCTGTTTCGTTCCGTTCTGTCGCGTTCCGAAAGAGGTAGTGAGAAATGGTTATCGACGGCAGAGAGCCGCACATAACCAAGAGTATTCACGCCACGTGGCCGTCGTCGTAAGTGCGCCGCGTTCTCGCCGTGACATTTTTTTTACTCGCGCTCTCTCTCTCTCTTTCTCGTTCGCGTTCTGTCTCTCCTTTTCTTTCTTTTTCTCTCTCTCTCTCTCTCCTTAGAGAATAGGCTTGCGTCAGTTTGTTGGTGTGGTAAATAAACTGCATTTCTTTGTGATAACTCGTATTATTTATTTCCCTGTCAACCGTCCTCTCAATATCTCGACGTGATAACCAAGTGTCGGATCCCGCCTGCAAATTTTGTTCTTTCTCGTCCTCTTCTTTTTCTCTGTCCTTTTTTGTTGTCATTATTATTCGTCCACCGTCATTTTCTCCGTCAGGAAATACGCAGCCTTCCAGTTTCCCCGCGTTCTCGTGTACCACTTCTCCCGATTCCTCATGTATCTTTCTTCGATCCCCATCCACGTGTGTGACCGTTAACGGAAGCGCTGCAACGGGAGCGGGATACGATATGTATACGAGAGAAAAAAAATGCACATTTATTTATTGCACTAACAAATGACACACGTTCGCGCGAATCGCGCCATCCAAGAGAGAGATCGGTGCCGATGGCGGTGAAGGACGATGGCAGGCGTGGAGGCGGCTGTCCACTTCGGAGGGCTCTCTTCTTAGACTGTTCCTCGGAGCAAGTATCGAGTTCGGGCGAGACACACGGGACACTGTTACGTTAAAGACGCTTGAGAGCACTCGCGGCGTCGCGCAGAGACTTTTAATTACACCACGACATCGATCGTAGCCGATCGTAGCCGATCGTAGTGCACCTCAAGACGCGCACACGCTCGAATCCCGGCTACGTTGTACTCGAGGAGACAGTCAGGTCTGCGTGCGTGTACGGATGGTATAGGACGCTTCGGCTCTGCAAGTAGGTACCACACGAGACTACGGGACATAAATTCGGGGACTGCAACCTGACGGCAGACTTGCTCGCGCGAGCGGCAAATTATTGTTCGCAAAGTTCGCGACGAGCTGTGCGAACTCCGCAGTGAAGTCTGTGCTTTACGATAACCTGTGATTAACCCGTCTGCCGTCACGCGTTTGTAAATGCCACTCGGCTATTTTCGCGAAATATACAATAATTCGCCGTGAAATCAAAGTGTGAAAGACAATTTAAAGTTTTGCAATTCTCAGGACAACATTTGTATGATAATTTATCTCTCGTAACAATTTATAGTTATATTATTTTTTCCTGTAATAACGATATCAATAACTTGATTCTTTATTTTTCCGCGTCTGTAACGTCAATTTCGCCATCGTTATCACTCTCAGATTGTTCTTAAGTAACTCTCAGAATAACATTTATCAATTTTATGATAATTGATATCTCTCATGATAATCCGATCATATTTTCAACTGTAATAACGACAATAACATTAATAATAGTGAAACTTAATTCCATTATTTTTTCGCGTTTGTAACGTTGACTTCGCCATCGTTATCACTCTCAGATTGTTCTTAAATAACTTTCAGAATAACATTTGTCAATTATACGATAATTGATATCTCTTATAGCAATTCAATCGTATTACTTTTCAACTGTAATATTGACAGCCATATCAATAACCGTGAAACTTGATTTTTTATTTTTCCGCGTCTGTAACGTTGACTTCGCCATTGTTATCCTTCCCAGATTGTTCTTGACTGTTTTTGTTTCTTATAATAATCTAATTGTATTACTTTTCAACTGTAATAACGATAGCATCAATAACGACGAAACTTGATTTGACATTTTTTCGCGTCTGTAATGTCGACTTCGCCATCGTTATTCCTCTCAAATTGTTCTTAAATAACTCTCAGAATAACATTTGTCAATTGTATGATAATTGATAATATGTCTCTCATAATAATCCAATTGTACTACTTTTCAACCATAATAACGACAGCATTATCAATAACGACGAAACTTGATTTGACATTTTTCCGTGTCTGTAATGTCGACTTCGCCATCGTTATCCCTCCCAATTGTTCTTAAGTAAATCTCAGGATAACATTTGTCAATTATATGATAATGTGCCTCTCATAATAATCCAATCGTATTACTTTTCAACCGTAATAAAACGACAGCATCATCAATAACGACGAAACTTTGACATTTTTCCGCGTCTGTAATGTCGACTTCGCCATCGTTATTCCTCCCAGATTGTTCTTAAATAATTCTAAAGATAACATTTGTGAATTGTATAATAATCGACAATATGTCTCATAATAATCCAATCGTATCTCTTTTCAATTAAACGACAGCATCATCAATAACCTGATTTTTCCGCGTCTACAATGTCGACTTCGCCGTCGTAATCCGCCTCGGGTTGCTCTTAAATAACTGATTTTTTTTTCTATCCGAAGTCGCAATAAAGGCAATCAACTTATTCCGAGCGAATCCCCGCGATGAATATATAGCCGCGTGAGCGAAAATAGATTACCGCATAACGCAACGCGGTATTCTTAGCACGTTGCACACTTCGCTCCGCGGTTATAACGAATCGACAGTGTCGAAACTTCACCAGGTCCCTCTCAGACACAGCTGCGTTTCGCGGGGCAAGAGAACGTAGAACCATCGATCCACGCGGGCGCAATCTGATCTAGCAGTTTCGTAAACTGCAAACTTCTTACTTCGTGACACGTCGGTTCTACCGATGCACTGGGGCCCGACCTAATACGGACGAAATACGAACTTAGTTGGGTTCAGTGCAAAGTCATACAAACCGGGCGCGCGATAAACTGTTTATACCGAAGTTTGCGGACATTCATGAACTTTCTCGAATTCGGCGAGCGAACCTACCTACCTATCTACCTAGCTACCTACCTACCTACCTACCTACCTAGCTACCTACCTACCTACCTATCTAGCTACCTACCTACCGACCTACCTACCTACCCACCTATCCACCAATACAAACATTGTTTGACACAATCCGAAAATTTCATCCGCATTTGCAACACACGGCTTGCCCTGCGCATCGACTACCTCCGGCGCGGAATGTTAATTGAAGTTTATTATAAGCTGCGCGCTGAGATTTACATTTCCCCGGTTACCTGTGATTATTCGATGATTAATTTACTTTCTGGAGGGAGGGAGAGAGAGAGACATTATCGTGCGATCACGTCGTGACTGAACCTCCGTCGTTCAAACTCGCGGGAGGGGCACGCGCCGGAGCTGGAATCGAGCGAAATCCAAAGTGGATTTCGCTCGGTTCACATGTTCATTTTTCGAAAACGAGGCGGGGTCCGCAGTACAGTTTTCCAAATTTTTCCACCACCCATTTTCCCCCCACTTGATAATGAGAGAAAGTAACAGCTTCGATTCCCCAGCTTCTCGATAACAGATACGCTTATGCAACTAAACGTGCATGATGACGTGCGTATCGCGTGAATCACGGTGAAATCACGTATCCTCATAATCACCGTCATCGTCATGTCACACAGGATGCCTCACGAATCTATGGTGAAAAGTGCGACGCATCGGTGGACGCCGATGGTTGCACTCGCCCATGGAGCTGGGATCGAATTAAATCGATGGCCGTTTCGTAAGCATAGGTTCTCCATTTCTTTCTCGAGTTATAAAGCCAGAAATAATAATAATAATAATAATATAATACCCAACCAACAATTATGTCGCGACCAGTACCGCGATAAATGCGACGAACGCATCTGTTCCCTCTGTTACCTCCTCTAGACCGCTCATTATTGACCGACGTCATGCTTAACTCATTCCACGAGTGTACAGACCACACCACGAAACGCTGAAAATTAGCATTCAGAGACTAACTATTTGCTGATCACCTTGCAGCTTGTCTCTCTGTCTCTCATTAAGAATTTCGATGCCAAGGAACCTTTTTTACGTAACGCCTGTAATTCCGTATATTTTGTACAGTTGGAGGCTTCCTGTGGTCCGAGCAATTAGACAAAAAACTTCAATCAGTACACACAGAAAAATACGTATTACATTCAAGTTGAATACTCGACTGAAATGCGATACTTGAAGCAAGTTACACATTTCAAGTATATATTATAAAAAATCTATATATACTCGCAAGTCTATCATAAGTTCGTCATTAGCATTAAATTTATTCAAAATACACTCTGAGTCTTAGCAAGTTTAGCACTACAATCAAGAATATTAAATTAACAGAATATTATATCAACATATCAAGAATATTATATTAACAGAAAAATTCGCGCGATTTGCTCACTGCATAGAATCGAACAAACCTTTTCTCCCATCAAGTCTTATATTCTTGCAAAAAGAATAAATTCTTCCTTTGAATATATGTTAGGGAGTTTTTCTTAAATGTTTGATAAGTAAATTTGAAGTTATTATCAAAAAAGTATTCCTTATTGAAGATAACTGAAAAGAAAGAAAATGACTAGAAAGAAGGAAAGTAACCCGAGTAATCGATTTTCTTAGCAGTAGAATATCTTTCTGTGTGTAATTTCATCTAAAGCTACCTGTGGTGTGTCTTTAATCCTAGAGAGGTAACGTGAGTAACTTTTACTTGTATTGAAAGCCTCGACTCAAAGGAGCGATAGCCCACGGCACAGTTAAGGTAGGGACGAGTAATTTTTACTCACTCGCGTAATATCTCGCAAGAAGCAGTGATATCCGTTTCCAGTGGGAAATGAAGTAAACACTAGAGAGCGAGCTTAAGGCTTTCACTGCGCGCGGAAGTTACTCACGCTACATTTCCAAGGTTAATTACTCACGACGCGTTGCAAAAGTCACAGGGGAGCCTCGAGCCTGCCCGGAAATCGCCGTGCAACATGAGAAAGAATCTCATCGTCCGAGCGGCTACCGATATCACAGCTTCACGTGCAAAATATAATATAATAACGAGAACGTCGTCGTGCAACGCGAGGAGAGTCGCCGCTCCTACGGGATTCGCAGGGCAATCAGATGCAAATCTCGTCCTCGCGAGCTTAATCCCATAAAACGAAACAGACCGAGCCGGGGCAGGCAGAGTCTGTCGTCAGGCCGCGCGTACCAGAAGCAGTTGGCTCTCCTCAACCTCGTTACCTCCGCTCCCTCCGAACTCATTAGACCACGCAATTTGCAGCGCGGCCGTATTATCGCGGCCTTTCGAAGTGTAATGCCATGTGCGCGCACGTGCCGCGCGCTGAATCGCCCGGATCCTCGGGGTCGCGGCCACCGCGGAATATCAGCACGGGGTGTATGATACGCGCGTGCACTTGACAAATAGAGCGTCTCTCGCTTCGGGCATAACCGATTTGATCGCCGCGACTCGCTGAATCCGCAATAACGCTCACGTACCTTCGAGATTGTTTCTTCGCGCTTCCTTCTCCTCGACGAGACGACCACGACGACCCTCGAATCGAAAGGCGCACGGGCACGAAATTAACCGAGCCGCTAACCGAACGCAATTAACACGCAAACGAGCCACTTCCCCTAAGTCGAGCATTTTTTCTCCTTCTTTTTCACTTTGTTCGAGGCATTTGAAGCAATACGCGCTATAAATATTCGTACATACAGGGCGTTGAAAAAAAATCATTTATATGGTAGATAGTACATACCACACTAAAGAAAAAATCTTAGTGAACATAGGTCGAAAACTCAATCTTTTCTGAGATACGAAGAATTTTGTACATTAGACGTTTTTCCACGTAAAGACGTTGCGCAGCTGAAGCATTTCTATTAATACGGCTATACATAAGATGCTTATCTGCCATTTTTTGGTCAGAACAATATGTTGACATTTTCAGCACGATACTTTGTAACTGTGTAATCACCAAACAAATTCACAATCGCTGATTGTATGAACTGAACTGATTGCCAGACAAATCTTTCTAAAGTATGCATGAAAATTGAATGAAGACATTCAGAACGTGATTTGTAAGTACGTGAGATAAATTTTCGCGTCGCATGCGACATAGAAGCCAATAAGTAAGTCATAATGCTGATATACAAAATTGTTTATATCTCAAAAACAATTGAATTTTCTACCTATGTTTACTAAAACTTTTTTGCTCAGTATGGTGTGTACTATCTATCATAATGAATATTGTACACTTTTTTAACACCCTACATATATTGTATATTATTGTATATTATTTTTTCTCGTTGTCCGTCCGTGTTCTCGCGTCGATAAGTGTTCGGTTAAACGACATCGCGGCCCGCGCTCGCTCTTGTGCACTGTGTGTCCTGACTGGCGGCACGTATGCACTCACGCATGCACTCACGCACGCGCGCGCGCGCAGCCCGAAATAGCTCGAAATGCGAGTCTTACGAAAATACGACCGCGTACGTTTGCATATCCCCGGCCACTCTCGGCTCGGTATCGTCTTTCCGTGTGCGTGCCGAGGTCAAGGCACTCTCGCGGAGTACACTTCCAGTGTTCCCGAGTGTCACGATTACCTGAAACCTACTCGAATTCGATGGCGACCGCGTTAGTCCTGGAGAGGAGCCGTCGGCCGCTCAAGAGTGGCTCGAGAATGAGCTCCGAGCGCTCGTAGACGATCGAATATGGCGTTTGCGGATGTCGCCAGCTGATGTCTGAGAATTGTATTGGCAGCCGTGCCGACGATGTTACGCAAATTCGAGGAGAATTCGGGTAACCCGGTGCAAAGAGGTGCATTAACATGGGCATTTTGTACACGGCGTAATGTAACGGAGAACGAAACTCCTTGGTCGTTTTTTTAATTTTCGTACTATTAACAACTGTTCCGTCACGCTTCTAGGGACGTGTTACCTGGCAATTGCATGAGACAAGAAGATGGAAATTATGAAACGCCAAATGATATACAACGCTCTCTTATTATTAGTTATTTTTTATTGCTTTATCATTCTGCCACAGCCAGTAGCTGTTCTGTCACTTGTCGGTGTAACTGTTGTTGGCTCAGACGCACGCGTTTGATGGAATTGCATTGCTCTCGCGGAAATGATTGAAGAGCGGCTCTCAGAACGTCTAAGGGCCGATAGTAATTCAAACTTGGAATTAAGTTTCAACTCTGTTCTAACAATTGTTTGGTTCGGAGATTCTACTTAAATCGAAGTTTAAAGCTTACTTTGATTCAGTTTCTCTGTTCAAACAAATCAAACACATTGTCAGAACAAAGTTGAAATTTAAATCTAAGTTTAAACTGCTATCGAGGAATCGACCCTAAGACATTCCAAAGAATTTCACTCCATCCTCCCGAAAATTAAAATTTTGCCCACCAATATTTGCATCTTCGGCTCTCATCGGTCGACTTCTCGGTCAATTCCGAAAAATATCCCTTAATTTCTCATTGCGCGCGCAAGAGCCGTCGCTCTATTGATTATTGTTTATGTAAACGGAAAGTCCCGAGATCACCTATCTCGAAGGTGTTTTCATGAGAACAAAACGGTTCCATCGTGCCGTAGCATTAGCCAATTAGTGAGGAAAACACGCTTCGACAACTGACTGAGCACATTGTCCCAATTGTGTTTCAGATTCCTCAACAAGAGCAGGAGCCAGGCGGCGATGATGGCGTCCCGCGAGCGGGAACGTGAACGAGATCGCGAACGGGTACGGGAACGCGAAAGGGACGCGGACGCAGAGGTAGATTCACCGCTGTCGGCGAGATCGCGCTACGCCGCTTTAAAAGAGCGCCGGCAGCGTCTGGCGCGTTCCCGGAGCTCCCACAACTTCGGCGGCGACGATCTCGATCTCGACGAGGACCCGCCGTCGCCGACTACCCAATCACCGAACGCCTACCTGGCGGCCAAGTACGGCGCCGGCTCCGAGCTGGCCCGCAGCCGCAGCACCCACGCGCTGAAGTCGCGCGAGCCGAGCCCGGAACGAGATCGCCCGGGCGCCGAGAAGGACGGCGCGGCTTTGAGCTCGTGGGCGCGGTACTTGAAGAACAAGTACGGCAACCGCACCACCAAGGACAAGGAGCCGCCCTCCTCGTCCTCCACGATACCCTCATCCAGGTGAGAGCCGGATTTAACACGCCGTTGGATTCACTACGAGTGCATCAATGAATCGTCCGTTTCCCGCGTAATGAGTTAAATTACAAATAATGCGGCACACAATCGTGCAGTACGGTAATGAGCTTTGATCGGACTGTATGCATAACGGCTCGGGGCATTACACGCAGGCCGGCATCAACGTCGGCATTATCGGCATCAGAAATTTATTGCACGTCGCGTCGAGGCGCGCGCTCGACATAAGGGACACGGCACAAAGCGCATTGCCGCCGTCTCATGCTCAATACAGAGATCAAGACAGGGGAGAACCGCTGAAAGCGCGATTCAGTCATACACGCGACGACCGTGTAACAATCGTCGATTAAGGCTCCTGGCTATTCGCCGCGGAATTCTTGATCGGTGACGTCGGCAGCGAGGAAATACATGCCCAAGATTCCTGCAAAATATATCGAAATCAAAAAGTGACACCTGTGATCGATCAAACATACTTCCACAACACCCTGAATATTTTCCTTTTGCTTCAATAATTAATAAATAATCGTAAAATTAACCTAACATACAGAGTGTTGCATACAGCTCAGTACGATGTACTTGTCTATACTAAAGACACTATAAGAGAGACTGGACATGAGACCCGTCCGCCATGTTTCTGCTAAATCCTGCGAGGGAGAAAGATATATATACTATTTCACTCTAACTCATAGTTTACTCTTTTCAGCTATATTACTGCACTACACTACTACACTACTGCACTAGTGTAGCTAAGTACATATGATGTGAGGTTAGGACTGCTATGTGTACATCAGGTATCAATGTGACTCGTGTAAATAATTTGGCATTTTAATATTAACAAGTATACAAATTACAATGACAAGAAGTATTTATTAACTTTGAAACGTTTGAAACTATGTTAAAAGTTAAAATTGATGTCTTATATTTGAAAATCAGCGGAAATAGCATAAGCATGGCGAACCAATCAGGAGATGATTTCATATGTCCAGTCTCTCTTATAGTGTCTCTAGTCTATACGTTTCGTTGACAGACGCGCGTAGTCAAGCCGTCGTACTGATCTATATGTAAATGCAACAGCTTGAAAATTTATTTATTGATTGTTGGAGCAAAAGGAACGTATAGAATATTTTGAAGACGTGCTTAATCGATTGCAAGTGTCACTTTTGAGATATCTCCCCTTCTCTACATACTTTGTAAGAATTTTCGGCATGCACTTCTTCGCTCTTTTGACGTCGTAAATCAAAATGACCGCGGCGAATAACCCCAATAAGCGTGTGAAACATCGCTAACAATGAGATGACACGATATCTGCAGCACCAGCGCAACCTCGAGGCGGCTGTCGTTGGGCTTACCTCTCAGGCACGCCGGCCAAACATCATTCGAATCTTCTGACGACGACCAAAAAAACCCGTCAGGCTCCCCCACGTCCCCTACAGCAGCTCCCGTTATACCCGCGGCAGCAGGTTCCTCCACTAGGTGAGTCTTCGTTACGTCGCATTGTGTTGGGTTACATGCGGAAGTGCGCAAGCTTCCCGCTGTTACAACACGAGGAACAAGAGAGAGAGAGAGAGAGAGGAAGAGAGCGATTTTGCAGGAAATACAACCCCGAACCTTCCCCTAAACGTGACATCGCGAAATATTTTTTTTGCAAGCTCGAAATTCACTGGAGCGAAACCCTTCACTCTCGTGAGCTGAAATTGGTTGGAGAAATTGATAACGCGCACATGGAGGAAATAGGTTGATTCAAAGGCGGTGAACGTGCCACGCGCCTTTTGGTTGAAGGGAACAGATCTTCTGGTTCTTAGGACCGAATTTGGCTCGCAGGAATCAGAAATATGCTGTTTCCTCCAAGTGAAACGCGCTTGGCTCGTTCATTATTGATTGAACAGAACTTTTCTCTCTGTGCGTGACTGATACTTTCCTCCCTTTCAAAAAGCGAAAAGTTGTCAAAAGCGGCTTCTCTCATCTCTTGATTAACGTCGCGGATTTCTCCCCGCGATACCTCGCGACTTCCTGTTGGAAGCGAAAAGTTTGCGAAAGGAACGTCTTCTTATCTTCGCGAAGTGCGATCGATTTGGCAAACGGTCGAGTATGAGACGTGAAGAAGTTTTGCCCGATTTCCGGGCTACGTTTCCTCGAGAGTCTCCTTGATGGAGCTTCTCTCTCTCTTTTCCCCGATACCTGACCAAACTGCCGGCGGAACGGAACTTAAGTTTCATACTTTATAGAGCGAAGACACGGTGCGCTGTTCGTTAGAAAGAACATATGGCTCTCTAAATATGGAGGAGCGCACTCGGAAGTGGAGGCCCCCTCCGGGCTGGACGCAGCGCGACGCGGTCGGACCATCGCGATCAAAACACTTTATCCTCGTTATCCAGCGTTGCGCTGGCGCGCATCTCCTCCTCAGGGCAGCCGTAATTCTCCGAGATCTAGTGCGCTGCTTTCCAGAGCCGGGCGTCCGAGTTGCGTCCCGCCTGAAAAGTAGATTTACGAAAAACATTCATTTAAGAACAGCGGCGCGCAATGAAGACACAGAGTCGCCACTATATCCGAGTTTAATCCGCTTCTCTCTCCCTCCCTCCCCCTCTCTCTCTCTCTCTCTCTCTTTCCCGCCGTAAAACGAACTTCCCTTAACTCGATAAGAGGTGTCGGCGGGTTTTACCCGGATGACAGATAACAAACGACTTATCTCTCGCGATAACGCTCGCGCGATTAGCTACGCGTGACCGTGAGAACCCTCGGGCCAAGGAGAGAGACCTATAATCGCCGGGAGAGATCGGGAATCCACGTAATGAGGTTTATTGACCGCCCCGTTAATCGGTTCCAGCAGTGGTCGGAGGAGTCATTACTTGCTGAAGCGGCGGCAGCTGTTTAAGTTCGGGATGCGGGGGAGCGAAGCCGGATGCTTTACCTGGCCGAGAGGCCTCGCGGTCGGCCCGGACAACTCCATCGTCGTGGCCGACAGCTCAAATCATCGTGTTCAAGTAAGTTCGCCTCGCCTAGACCGTACAAGTCGATCTCGCTAGACTAGAGATTCCCCGTGCAATTGTAGTGTCGAGCAGAACGATGGAAATTACCAGGTGTAGGACAGCGTAACGATGTTTCGCGATATGGATCTACGTCTACGCGTATCATGGAAATGGAGCTTCTCGGATATTCGATGAAATTCAGCCAGGGAGAACCCGAGATGTTGATATATTAACGCTGATCTCTCAATAGGAATTAGATATTTCATAGATCTGGTGGATTAAAGTAAAATAGTGTTAAACAGTTTGGTGGAGTTTAAAGTTTGTTCTGACAGTGTGTTTCATGTCTTTGAACAGAGTTTAAACTTAAGTCCAAGTTCAAATTATTATTCAATAAGAATCGGCCTTTGGAAACTGCTGGGCTCAAAGATTTCTTTTTGAATTAGATAGTTATCATATTTCAGGTAAGACAATTCCTGTTCTCTCAACATCTTTATTTGATTTTCAAGTGGCGGTATTTATTTTCTTCGCGCAGACACATTTCTTTTTCGTCCCGTTCAACACAGAATATTCTAGTCTGAATTTTGACACGTGCATATTCGCGTTTCAAGTTTCTCACTCTGGCAGAATTTGATTGAATATCAAATAGCTCTCTCATCATCCTTGCATATAACGGAGCCAAATCTGTTGGAACGACCGACGGAACTTTTGAAACTTTTAGCCTCTTCGCTAGCCGTACCGCTGTTTTCGAAACAGTTTAATTAACTGATTAATTATTCATTATTCTTAAACTTACACACTCGAAGTGCAGGCGATTCAACTGACGACTACCGCGAAACCTCGGCAAAAAGAATCGCGAATTTAATAACGCGCGTGATTTACAGTTCACCGTCTCGGGAAGACTTTCTCTCGGCAGATTCGCCGATATCTCACGTAAGATATTACCGAATATTACTCAAGTTTGACGCTTCCCGGCCGACGTGGCGGCTATCGCTAACGAGGCACGCCTCGATAAATCAGCCGGGGGTCATTCGAAGCGATAATAGTTAACCCCGGTACGCACGTAAAGCGGAGACCTTACCATGATGGTGTGGTTTCTCGCGCTTTGGGGACCAGCGCACGCGTGCGGTATCGACGATCGTAAATAAGCCAGGCTCGTTGCCGGGACGGGGTTGGCACCGAGGTTTCAGAGAAAATTCCAGCTCGTTATTGCGCTCGGCCGCGAACCGATTTTAATATCGCGCGATCGATGGAAACGATCCCGTTCCCTCGCTCTACGTAACTGGGCGTGCCCTCTCTCTCTCTCCCCCCGCAGGTATTCGACGGTAATGGAAACTTCATGAAGGAGTTCGGAACATACGGGAGCGGCGAGGGTGAATTCGACTGCCTCGCCGGAGTGGCCGTGAACCGGATCGGCCAGTATATCATCGCGGATCGTTACAACCACAGGATCCAGGTGCTCGACCCGTCCGGTCGTTTCCTCAGGGCTTTTGGCTCTCAGGGCACCGCTGACGGTCGCTTCAATTATCCCTGGGGCATCACCACCGACGCCCTCGGCTTTATCTACGTGTGCGACAAGGAGAACCATCGCGTACAGGTATGCAATCTCATCGGGAATTTGATGCGCCCGACACTCTCGGGGAAAAGGTCAAGACTTGCCACTTGATTTTGCTTTCGTACCGAGATTCCTACTTTTCTCGCTCCATCTCTTCATCGAGGATGAAAAAAAGGAGGAAACGAGTGGTAAATTAATTTCAGTCTCTTTTGAGAGATCTTCGCGTTTCTTTAGAAAAATGGACATTTTAAGGCCCGTATTAATAGCTGTCAAAACTTTTCTCACGCATGCGAGACACTCAGACTTCTTTTCAAATCCAAGTGTTTCAAAGTTGAATTGCATGATACAGTTGTAACTGTAGCTCAACTGAAGAACTCTCTCATCTTGCTCTGAATTCAAACACCTCTAAAAAGAACTCTAGTTGCAAGATGCTAATTCTTGTAACCCCACGTTCTAAATGGAAACCTTCGCCGAAAGAGTACTCCTCTTCTGACTATTCTTCTGACTCCTCTTTTTTGAACTATTAATTGGGAATCTACTAAATATTAGTCCAACGTTCCTTCTCTCTTTTGAATCAAGAGGAATATGTCTATTTGAAGTCAGAATGTTCTCCTACTAGAAGAAACTTCCGTATTAAAAGCACAACTCTGTGCTGTAGATAAAAGACGAAGTTTCTCCAATTATGAAAATGTTGCTATCCTTCTAGCTTCAAAAGAATCCTCTCTTGAGGTTATATATAGGAATAAAACCTCTAGAATTCCGTCAAAAATGTGATAGTAATTTTTTAGTCCGAGTTCCTCACACGCGCTTGAGCCAATTTTCAAGTAATAACTATTAATACGGGTACATGTGTGCTCGTGCGAGATGAAATGAAGCCGTCAGTTGTTACCACGCCAGTGTCGGTCGACGCGAATTCCTCCTGTCTGATAATTTCTCTACTTAATTACTGATATCTCGCGCGCGATCGTTAAAAGCTGCGCCAGTTAACCGCCGGTTAAACCGTCCGTGACACCGCTCGCAGGTATTTCAATCGGACGGCACGTTCGTGGGCAAGTTTGGCTCCTGCGGTAGCGGACGCGGCCAATTAGAGCACCCGCATTACATCGCGGTGAGCAACACGAACCGAGTGATCGTCAGCGACAGCAACAACCACCGCGTGCAGATATTCGACGTGAATGGCCGCGTGCTGACATCCTTTGGCTCGGAGGGCTCGGAGGAAGGCCAGTTCAAGTTCCCGCGGGGCGTCGCCGTGGACGATCAGGGCTACATCGTTGTCGCCGATTCCGGCAACAACCGCATACAGATCTTCAGCCCGGAGGGCGCCTTCCTCAAGTCCTTCGGCTGCTGGGGCAGCGGCGACGGCGAATTCAAGGGTCTCGAGGGCGTCGCCGTCACCTCCACCGGCAACATCGTCGTCTGCGATCGCGAGAATCATCGGGTCCAAGTATTTTGAACCCGTAGATCTCGTGCGCGACTCGACCGGCAAGCTAAGCGAGTTGGCGCGCGTTCGCGTTTATTAATCGAGCGTTAATAAGTGGGCGAATACAAATTAGCTGGCACCTCCGAGTAACGTCTCATATACTCTTAGGTGTCATTCAACAATTACGTCACATCATGAAGGGATGAGCTTACGTGACGGTTTATGATAACTGCGGGTGAGTAAAGAACGTCACACGTACCCTACATTCAAAATTGTTATATCTGAAAATATTATATTCTATAGATATAATTTAATTTTGTGTTAATAATCAAATGTTTTTGAAAATCTTGAAGAGTTTATTTAAAAAAGAAAACAAATTTTACTAATTAAGATTATGAAATAAAATAATTGAATCGATATTATGCCTAACAAAATTATTTGTGTTTTAGAAAAAAATAGCAACGTGGTGTAATAATTATTATTTAAAACATAATCACAAGCTGTTCTTTCTTATTCTGTGTGAGGAGAGGAGGATAGCTCCACATATCACATAATATTGAAAGGTGGCTCAAACTTTCTGATGGAAGAGAGAAGGGAAGATAAATAATATTCATATTTTGCGTGACGTAATTATTGTATGGCCCTTCGTGTGCTTGATGAACACTTGGATTAGCAACTTAATTCAAGAAGGGCGAATATGCCCGAGGCCGGTAACTTTGAATACTCTCACTTCTTTATTTTGCAATTTAAAATACGCGACGAACATTTAGAGAAGTTGGATGTTGTCGGGACAACGGCAAATAATGTCCCCTCGCGGATAAAAATGAAAAATTAAAAAAAAAATAGCAAAAGTACGATTAAATATAGGAAGACTTCAATATGTCGACAGAAAAATTGTAAAAATGTCATAAAAAATATTGCAAGTTTAGTATACATATTTCGTGAAACGGGGGTTTTCCAGATCAGCGAGTTTTATTCGAAACACTTTCGCGGAAGCGACCCCGTCAACGAATGGGATGTTGCGTTTTGCCGCTTGTTTCGCTCGAATATTAACACGGTTGCCTCTTTTCATGAAATTCTCTCTCCTCTGCCCCCCTCCCCACATCGGAAAATTCTCCCGCGACCCTTAAAAAGTTCAACATAATTCCCTCTTCGCTCTCCGCCGTCGTTCGATGACGTAACACACAGATTTATCGCGCTGGTAGTTTATTATTCGCTGTAATAAAAATACGGGAATAATCCCCGTCGCTTTGCGACGAGCCGCGCAAAGTCGTTCCATTTGGCCATATTAAAAATCTATCGTGGTGAAAACGACAATTAACAACTATCCATTTCTTATTGCGCCGATGAATAATTGGCGATCGGCATGATTGCTTCGAAAGGATTCTTCTGAATTATACGTTTGTACTTATTGGCAATTAACAGATGACATTAACGAAACTCGCCGCTTACTCTGCACTAATATTTCCCTCACGTACACTGAGAGAAAAAAAATTAGTTGATCTAACTAAAATTATAGTTACTTTTGGCTCCCCCAAACACATTTTTTGTGGTAAAGTGGTAGCAAAGTAACATGCATATGAGGTTATTATCACTAACATTATAGTAGAATTTAATTAAAAAGAATGATTCTTGCAACCATAATTTATAGTAATTATTTCTTTATGTGGTTATAGTTACAAGTGCCATTTTTTTCTCACTTCAAGGGAAGTTGCGGAATTGTCCCCCCCGATTTTGATGCGCTTGGATATGTTGTAGAGCATCAAAAAGTAGTCGACACGTATTTTTTTTTATCGGCCATATATTGAGTTTAGGGGTTGAAACAGCCCCTTGAAAAAAAATTACTTTTCCATTTTTATTGAATATTTCCTAAAATATAAGGTATATGAAAAAATGTTTCTTACAAAAGTTGTACAGTATTTAATGCTTTTTGAAACAATATATTAAATTTTTTCAAAAACATCAAATTTTTGAACCCCCTCCCCCTACTCATTACCTTTGCAAAATTTGTAAGTTTTTATAAGGACAAAAATTGTACAGCATTTTATACTAAATCGATCCATATATAATATTATAAGGTGGTCTCGATTAAATAGTTGGAAAACGTCGTGATAATATCGTGCTATACACGTCATGCCGTTCAAGTAGATGGATACTGTAGCTAGATACGTTACTGTAAGTAGGGGAATGTAATTAATTGTAGAAAAATAATACATAGACAATTACATATATTTAATGAATAATGTTTACAATTTATAATGTTATTATAATATTTTAAAATCATATAATTAATATAATATTAAAAAAAATCGATAGAGGATTTGCATACACAGAAAATAAATGTGTTTTACTTATGGCACATATTCGTAACAAAAGTGGTGCTCATGGAAGAAATGTGTGATGCAAAGTGATCGTTTGCACCAAGAACAAGTAATTATAGCAGTTTTGCCACAAATATCGCATTGTACTTTAGGATCTTTTTTGAAACAAAAATCAACCGGTGTCTCGAACTCTGGCGGTCTAGTCTGTAAATATCCACTTTTAAACCATGCAAATTTAAATAAATTTTGAAACCTAGGTGACGAGAATTGATGGTGTGTTAATGACTGCAATTTCAAGATATTGTTCCTATTATGAAGATCAATTGCAAGATCGAATAACATAACATTATCAGAGAAATATTTGTTAAAATTTTTCCACAAACGGAAGCCATATACATTTAGTGGTTGTATTTTTCCCGTTGTACCAGCCGGAATTGTTAGAAAATATATATCTGTTGCAGAATCTGGTCTACTTTCGCCAATTATGTTGGGACAATGTCCACTCCAAGAATCTAATAGTAATACAGATTGTGGCCCGACGTTCGGAAAGAAAACTTCTCTCAACCAGGTTTTTACATGATTTGATGTTAATTTACCTGACTTTGAAGCCATTACGTAAATGTTAGGAGCGTTAAATAACGATTGCTGCACTCGTGGACCAAACGTTCCTGTGGATTCTTTTAATACGATGAAAAGAGACGACAATAATCTACCATCAGCAGAAATAGTTGGCTGTATTGTGTAACTATGCGTGGTTGCGGATACAGACTGTACTACAGATTCTATTGTTTTTGCACCTTTATTTGCTAAAGTACGACCGGCGTGAAGTTCTAACTGGAATCCACTCTGATCCGAATTATAAATATTTTCTACTCCATATTGATTAATAAAATATTTAACATTTGTTGTAAATGTTTTGCACTTATTTTCCAAATCTGGTTTTGATAACAAAGATTTTTTCGTGACAAATTTCGTTATTTTACGAGATATATTATGAGATATATTATGTTGTTTTTTGAATCTGTGTATCCACGTATGTGACGCTATGAATCCTGGCACATTTACCTCTTGTTGTGCTTGAGAAACCCATCGACCGATGTCAATATCATGAATTATCATTTCTCTTTGGAGCGCTTCATTGAAAGTGTTTAATGTATATTCAGCAATTCTTTGCAATTTTTCTCTTCTTGTATCACCTGCATGGATATAGTTCTCCCATCGTCGTAATTGTCGTAGCGATGTTACTTGTTTATAATTGTGTTTTACTGACTCCAATGATTTTGGTCTTGTTTTACCGCTTCTCCAGTATTCCACAGCTTGCCTTTTGTAGTCGTTTGATATTGCTGCTTCAACAAAAGTACAAATAACTTCTTCTGGAAGATAATTCTCATCTTCAACATGATGAAACAAATCAACTGTTTCTGCATGTGGAATCTCATTTGGATCATAAAAATCTAGTGCTTGCTCCTCTTCTATTTCAAATTCGTTATCATTTCCAATTTCTTTCAGCATGTATTCAACCTTCTCCTTCATTTCTATTTCCTCCGAAGTTATCGGACTTTGTGGAAGGTCTAATGCAGAGAATGTTGCGTACAGTAACAGTATGACATTCCATGCATTAAATGACATCATTCTGGAACAGATTAAAAATAAATGTTTGTCTCCACCTGTGATTATATAAAACTGTGATATAAAACTGTGATTATATAAAAAATAAAACATACTTTATAATTAATGTTATGTCTTCTTATTTTGGACGTTGTTTTCTTCTCTTCTGTCTCTTGATATCAGATATACAGTGCATCTAAAAGAAATTAATAAATCAAAACGCAATTATAAACGCATTATTTACGTTATATTTGTTGAGATAATAGGGAGACGAATGTATAAAATGTTCACATAAATATATAAACATGTAAAACAAACAAAAAATTATCTTATCAATTGATAATAATTATAGTAGGACCTCACAA